CATTTCTGCCCAAGAAGTGATTGAAAAAGGCCTAAGATTGTGAAACCAATACTTTGCCTTGTCTTTTAAGGTGAATGGAAAAAGTTTGAGTCTTAAGACCTCTTCCGGCATGTTCGTATATTTTACGGTGGAACATACTTCTAGAAACTCATCCAAATGCTTGTAAGGTTCTTCACTTGGAAGTCTATGATAGTTAGGAAGCATTTGAATGGTTTGTGGCTTAATTTCATAGTGATGTGCTCTAAATTGTGGCAATTGAATGCATATAGGTGCATTGTATTCATTCGGCACATAGTGATCTCTTAAAGCAAGTGGAGGATTGGCAATTTGAGGTGCAACGTGGGCACCTTGATTTTGATTTCCTTGAATGATGGGAGGTTGTGAAGCATACATTGGCCTTGACATTCCAAATGGAACTTGGCCTTGTTGTTGTTGTGGTTGGTGAATGAATGGCCTAAGCATGTCTAATGGTGCTTGCATGTTCTCATGATGCACATTTGGATGAAGGATACCTTGTTGGTCTATGTGACCAAGGTCCTCTACATGCTCTTCATTATGGCCTTCAATTGATGTAATGGATTGGGTAGAACTAGAACTTCCTCTTCCCCTAGGATTTATAACTACGGATTCAACATGCAAATCAAGAGGGACAAGAGTTGGTCTTAGTGATCTACGACCATGCATGCACAATGTAAAAACACATAAACACAATGAATGAACAAACACTTTAACTTCACAACAATTCAATGAAACTTCCTCCACAAACACTTAATCCATACTCCTATGCTTTAACAATAATGATGTAAAGAACAATTAAAAATGCCTCCACGCGGGCTCACGATTTATCTAAGAAATTAAAAACAAGTCTCCAAGCGGGCCGACAATTTAACTAAGAGATTGAGTAAAGAAAGTCTCACAAAGGTCCTTTAGCACTTCAACTCCAAATTTATAACTTAGCTTAGCAATTTTTAAAATTTTTAGCATTTTTCCATACTTGCTTAGCTCCTTTGCTTGAGTGCTCCTTTACTTTCCTCCTAGCTCAATGCTCCTTGTCAAAGATGAACAAACACAATAAGTAATCAAAAGAAAAATAAAAACAAAGTAAAAACACGATCAAAAGAGTACTAATTCCTAATTGATTCCACAAATACAACGTTGCCTAATCCCCGGCAACGGCGCCAAAATTTGACAAGTAGAAGCCGCTTAATATACCCCAAAATAATGTAGTGAATGTGCGGTTCAAGAAAAGCCTTTTAGGTCAAGTTTAAATTTATAAAACCACTACCACCACTACTACTAACGTAGCAAGAGTGAGTAAGGATCGTCCCAAGGGCTTGGAGTCGAATTTGGTTGTGGAATTGCTATTAGGGTTAATAGGTTGAGTGATCAAACAAATGGTTGGTTGGTTGATTAAACTAGAGAGCAAATTAAACTAAATAATTGAATGCAATAAGGAGTAAGTAAGAGAGAGAGTTCTTGGGGTTTAGAGGTCACCACCAAGCAATGTTTTTCTACACCCTTAACTAGTGACTAATGAGGGAAATGTGTGTTGCAATATTGATGTGTTTGAGTGTTTGGTTCATTCAATTAGCAAGGGTGACCAATTAAGCATACATTGTCTAATCAACATGTGAAAAGCACAACATATCTAGCAATTAAGTATATATTGTCTAAATAGCATGTGAAAAGCACAATATATCTAGCAAGTCATTAATCCTTTCATTAAACTCACAAGCCAACTACACCACAAGGTTAGAGACATATGCTACTTGCATTCAAAAGTATGGAACATCAAACAACAAGCATGGATTGTCCTCCCATTTAAATACTATGTTACCACTACACTATAATTAAGCTAATGACATGAAATTAAACTAATTAAGCTAAGGGAGAGGCACAATCCATCAAGAAATGAGCATGAACCATCTAGAAAATTACAAGAGCATTCCTTTAAGCATAATGTTTTGAAAATCTCTAGATCTATGACATTAATACACATAGATATGCATCAATAACACAAGAAATAGAGACAAACACATGAATATCTATTTTAGCATACATAGACATATGGATGAGTGAAATGATCAATTGGAAGCATTAAACCACATAAATCATTGAATAAACAAGATCTATATATATATAAATGCCAAAACATGTATTACAACACTAATCCCTCAATAATACACAAAATCAAGAAGTAGAAAACATGCTTGGGGCTAACTCTAGCCCCAAGAGGATGTCTAGCCACTTATGGTGGTGCTTCTCCAACCCTCAAGGGTTAACTCTATGGTAGAGATTTGCTCCTTGGTTGATGAAGAGTCTCCAATGGTGTCTCTAGCCTCCTTCTCCTCTAAGCTTGCTCTCCAAGAGTTGTTACAAGGTATGAGATGATATGATATGAGGTATAGTCTCTGTTTGTAAAAAGCAATCCTTATCCTTATATAGGTAGGTCAAATGACACCCAAAATGAGCTGGGGTCATGCACAAAATATTTCCCAATGATTGGATAAAGGTCAACTTTTAATGAGCTGGAAATTTAACTTTTTCGCACTGGAGGAAGTTCGATCGATTGAACCTTGGACTTGGATCGATCGAACATGGCTGAGATCTATCGAACTTAGGTTGGATCGATCCTCAATGGTGGCGCTTTTTGGATAAAGACAAATTTGAGATATTTTGAAGATATTTTTGGGAAAAGGACAAAAGTGGTTGGTAGGGTGGTACAACTAGATAAGATCAATCATTTGGATAAGGATAAGGCAGTTCGATCGATCGAAGAATGATATTGGATCGATCGAACTTTTGAGATCTCTGAAAATGTCATCATGACTCTGATCCATCTTGGAGTGCTGAGATCGATCATGTTGGATCGATCAAGCTTTGATCTAAGATCGATCGAAGATGTTGATTTCCACCTTTTTCTTCCTTTTGCTTCCACTTGGCTCCTTTCTTTGATTCATCCCAGAATTGTTTCATTTCTGCTCTTATTTGGTTGAGTTAGCTTATTTTCAGGATAAATACTTAAAAATGGAAATAATACGAAATCAATCTAAGACGGTAAAGTAAGATAGATAAAGGTACTAGAATGCCTAAGCTTAAGGGGTTTAAATACGCACTTTTCAGCGCTCATCAGTTGACTCTAAACTATCATGGAAGCCATTGCACACCCAGAAAATAAACATATTTTGATTTGTTTCCAAAATAAATCACAGATCTATTTCTCCATTCTTTTATTTTCATAAATTTCACCTTCCCTCTCTTCGTATACTAGGTCATTTTATTCTAAATTAACAAAGCAACATTGGAACAGAGCAACATCGGCCTAGGAAATAAACATATTTTGATTTGTTTTCAAAACAAAACACAAATTTATTTCTTCACTCCTTTGTTTCCATAAATTTCTCATTCCCTTTCTTCATATACTAGGCCATTTTATTCCAAATTAACAGAACAACATCCGAACAAAGCAACATCTGGACTAGCATGATTTTTTTGTTTAATTATTTGTGTACTGCATAACATCCCAAGCAGTTTATAATTTAAATCAATATAAGTTGTACACAACATCCAACATAATCATAATGGATTATTTGTACATAACATCCAAGCAATTTGTAATTTAAGTCAATATAAGTTGTACGTAATATCACAACATAATCCTATTAGATGATAGTCATTGACTCTAATCGGAGAAACAGTAGTTTAAATTATAATCACCATAATCGTACTAGATTATAGTTATTGACCTAATCGGAGAAACACTAGTTCAAATTATGATCTACCTAACATCCCAAGTAATACGTAGTTTGTATCCAAAGCAGTACATACTTTATTTCATACTTATGTTATACGTAAGGATTAAGAATAGACACAAAGAGATAGAGAGAAGAACACCAACACAACCCAAGCTTCTTCAATTGCAGAGTAACAAATTATAAATCAATAAACCAACAATTTTTAGACAAAGTGAAGAAAATTGACTGTTATCACAGAAATTCAAGTTAAACCACTTAAACAATATGAATTTAGAATGAACCAACAATTATTCAGACAAATGAAACAAATTTGTTGATAATCAAAGGAATTTCACAAGAACCCCCAAAATAAAATACTAAAGACCAAGGAGATGGAGAAAGATGACCTAAAATACAAAATTGAGAGTTAAATAATATTAAATGAGACTCACCTTCTCTATTAAAATAATTTATACGGTATTTTGAAAATAATATTTAAAGTTTTTATATATTTGAAATACAACTTAAAGAGGGGTGGTGAAAAATTAGTTACTCTATATTTTTAATTAACGTGATACTTTCGCAACCACTTATTCCAAAAAGGAGAAAAATGGTTACTGTGAGATGAAGGTGATTTTGCACCGTTGTGTTACCAACTTCCCTGCTGAGTTCACCTACCACCACAAAAACGGGGACGAATCCTCTCCATTGAGGCCTCTGTCCAGTTACAAATGGTTAGCTAAGAATGGGCCATGTCACAGCCACGTCATACCACATCAGTTTAGTTTTGTCACATCATCTCCAGATCATTATTCAGTAAAAAAAGTTTCACTGAGCTACTACAATATTTTACTATGCGGTTATACTGTATACTTTATAAATTATAGGGAAAAATGCGGAAAAAAAGATAAAAAAAAACTTGAACTAAGTTATAAAAGTTACAAAAAAATGTCCTGAACTATACATTTTTGTTACAGATAGCCCCATCCGGTGAAAATTTCATTGGATCTCACTGTAAAATATCACTTGCTGGTCACATGACACACAATATACAATTTAAAGACTATAATACCCTCATCTGCTGGAAAAACTCCATTAACCCATTATTATATCCACAACACCCAAACACCTTTAACTTAATATTACATCCAAACACACACTCTTATCCCTTATATCTATACATCCAAACACACCCATATCCTTATATCTACAGGGATAAATACATAGAGAAAGAGGGGGAGAGAGATAAAACATTGTTCATCCTCTTCTTGGCATATTTTTAATGAATTAAAAAATCTTGCTGACAGAAACAACACACAAAAACCAACTCACGTCGTGGCAGAGTTAGGAGCTCAATTGATTAACGGGAACTCCATTTTTTCCCACCATTCGAATTGAACCTTGTTGGCCAAACTGAATCCATATATATATATACACACACACACATATTGTTTCGACAGGGCAAACTGAACCTATCTCTCACCCTGTCTATAGAGATCTATATATATTGCTTATCTCTCTCATTCTCCCTCTGTTTATATATATATATATATATATATATATTGGACATACTTGTGATTGCTAAGGAATAATCAATCAATCGAAGAGAGAGAACTGAGAAATCGAGTAGTGTGAAATTCCCTTTCCTAATTACTCAGTTCGAGTCTAATTACAGGGCAGCAAGAATAAGAGATATTGTGGTTGCGAATGGATTAACTGAAACTGAGTGGTCAATTTCAGAGTTAGGTGAAAAGGATTGTGGTGGCAGTGATGGGCACAAGAGGAAGACCCACTTTGTTAGGTCTCTTAATGGAGTTATGAAGAGATTGGGCACCCACGGAGAAGACTGAACAGCTATACCCAACCGAAAAAGAAATCCAGATGTTTCTACTATGGCGACGCCATCCACCACTTGATCACTCCAAAATTCAAAACGGAGGCGTACAACGTCGGCAACCTAGAAAAAGAAGATGATGTGATTGAAGAGGCTGATTCGTACCAAAGTGAGTATGGATTTGAGCAGGTTCCATGGAAGATGATGATGGTCTCTCTTAGATGTTGCTTCTTTGTGGTTCTTTTTCTCCTGCCATGGACACCTTTTCTTGAGGTCTCTCTCTGGTCCCTTCTTTCTCTCTCTACGCATTTCTCTCTCTCTCTCTATTTTATTAGTTACGTTTGTGGTTAGGTGAACAATATAAATTAAGTAAAGTAGACTGTAACACTTAAGGTAATTAAGTAAAGTAGATTGTAACACATAGGCACAGTTTGGTACCGTGGAAATGGGAGGAAAGGGGAGGGTAGGGAAGCTGACGGAGGGTTACTCTAAAAACTATATTTGAAAGAAAGGAAAGGAGAGGAAAGGGTTTGGAGGATTATAGCCTTGTACAGTGATTTACTTATCCTTCCATTTGGGAGGAAATGGAAAGAAATGGTTGATGTAATATTTGTGATGTCAATTTTACCCTTAAAATAATATGCATACAAGTTACATACAAGGTAGCAGTTGCAGAAAGAATGGAGAGACGGTGGGCAAGAAGCTTGCTAACGGCGAACCCAAACTGGAACAACGGCAATGGAAACTGAAAGATATGGGTTTTCATTTTCTGAACAATCTGAAATGATATACTGATACGGGTTTTGAATTTTTGATTCTTGCATAAAGATAAACTGAAATATATGGGTTTGGGTTTTGAACTTCTGAATCTTGTAGTGGAGAGAGAGAGAGGAGAGAGAGAGAGAGGCAAGTTCAGGGTTGAGACTGATAATAGAGATGGAGGCGATATTGGGCTGAAATGATTTGCCCTAAATTTTTCTTTTCTTTTCTCTTTTTATGGGCCAGCTGCTGATATAGGAGAATATATACATATATATATATATATATATATATATGATAGAGAATGGGGAGGCTGAAATGATTTGCCCTAATTTTTTTTTTTCTTTATTTTCTTTTCTTGTGCGAGGCTGAAATGATTTGCCCTAATTTTTTTTTCTTTCTTTTCTTTTCTTGTGCAGGTACAGGATACTATATATATATATATATATATATATATATATATATATATATATAAGGGTATATATAATAGAGAATGGGGAGGCTGAAATGATTTGCCGTAATTTTTTTTTGCTGAAATGATTTGCCGTAATTTTTTTTTTTTCTGTTCTTTTCTTTTCTTGTGCAGGTACAGGATACTATATATATATATATATATATTTCAAAATATAAAAGGGTATAATAGTCAATTTATTAAAATACTTTCCTTTCCTTTCTTTTCCCAAATATGATTATTATACTTCCCTTTCTTTTCCTTCATTAACCAACCAAACACGATAGGGGTTAAAACTATCCTTCCCTTCCATTTCCCTCATAACTAATATTATCCTCCTCCTTCAAATCCACCGTACCAAACATACCCTTAAGGTATAAGTTTAAAACGGTGTAGTTTTTTATAAGGGTAAATTGGTCTTTTACATTTTTTAGCATCAGAAGTAAACCTGGTAAGGTTAAATGCAAAAAAAACATAGTTCATTTTTTTTTTTAGTAGTTCAGGAGAATTTCTTGCATTTTATCCTAAATTATACAATATATCATGTCTAATATTTAATTATTTTCGTATTTAGCTTTCCCTTTTGATAAAAAATCAAAATCAAAATTAGTTTTTTAGATCTTCATCTTCCTCTGCTTCCTCTAATTTTCTCTCGTTTTCTCTGATCTTAAAGAATATAAAATTAATTTTGACTTCTACTTTACCTACCTTATTTTTTGAACCAAAATCAAATATGAGTTGGGGTTCAAAATTTTATAGATAAAAATTTCAGACTTAAAATTAGTGTATGAATGACTGAGCTCATTGCACTTCTTGGGTCAACTAAGTTAGCTTTTTACACAATTTAAAAATAAATAAACAAACAAACTTAAAAAGTTTTGTTTTTTTATTTTACTATGTGAATTTTTAATCGAAAGTATAAAGTTAAAAGAGTTGAAAATTGAGTGCCATGTACAAGAACAACTATATAGAATAAGAGAATTTAATTTTATTCCTTGAAGTGAAATTGGTTTTACATGACAGATTTTTGTAATTGGTTGAAAATCGAAATAATGTTGAGTACTTGGGTTGGATATGATTTGATATGGAACTCATTTAGACTTCTTCAAACAATTTGCATATCATATAATTATATATTGCCTAATAATATCATTGCATATGCTCCAAGTTACATTTATGACAAGTACTTGCCAGTTATTTGCAAATTTTATTCTCAGTGTTATTTACAATGCTCAACTTATTTACTTGATGTACAATTAAATTAAAAGAAAAATAAATTCGAAAAATGAAAAAAAAAAAAGAAAAAAAGAAAAAAGTACATATGAGAAAACTGGGGACAAAAAGAAGGAAATTGCTTTCCCATAAATTGAAAAACCACCTCCCCGTGTGGAGGTAAAATGCAGTTTCAACAAAAGCAAGGAGACTCATGTTTTGTTTTTTTTCAAAAAAAAAAAACTTAAAATTGATTCCTAAAGAAGTGATATTTATGCCACGGAGAGTATTGGATATTAGCAAATTAACCCCCCATAGAATACCTTCCAAAAATAAACCAACAGATAGAATGTTGACTTGTACCAATTATTAACGCACAATACAATCGAGTAAACACACTTTGATTACTAACAAATTTAGCAAGCAACAAGAAGAAATCATAATCAGATAAACAAAAATTATACTAACTTTGAGGAAAATTGCGAGTACAGGAACAAGAGCTGTGGGGTGGGGCACATAGGATACCAGCTCTTTTTTACGCGTAATGGAGTGCGGTGCGAAGCAACTGTGATGTTTCCTCCTTTCATATTGCTGAAATTTCTAAGTTCCATTATTTACGTGATTTGAATTTCACATTTTTAAACGTGAAGTGCAAAAAATTTGTTTTAATTCCCTGTTGTCCATAAAATCCTGTTATATTATTTAATTTGTGTCCACTTGATCAGAACAACTTAAAGAGGAAAATTGCGAGTACAGGAACCGTAATGTGGGGTGGGGCACATAGGATACCAGCTCTTTTTTACGCGTAATGGAGCGCGGTGCGAAGCAACCGTAATGTTTCCTCCTTTCATATTGCTGAAATTTCTGAGTTCCATTATTTACGTGATTTGATTTTCACATTTTTAAACGAGTGAAGTGCAAAAAATTTGTTTTAATTCCCTGTTGTTCATAAAATTCTGTTATATTTTTTAATTTGTGCAAAATTAAATAATATAATGATTAAAGTGTCCTTGTAATATAATATCTAGTATATATTATAGGGGTGACAAAATTGGACAAGACATGATAACAAGGAACTCGAATAAATTTAACTTAAAATTCTCTTTATTTCAAAAATTCAATCTTTATATATTACTTGAAAGGTACCTTGATTGAGGTTCGGGACATTCCAAAACGACTAAAGATGTTTGTTATGTCTTTCTCTCCTTCTTATTCTAAGATAAATAAAGTTTTATATGTTGAGAGGCTTTGATTGCTCGTTGGTGATAGGCATTCGGGACTTTTGAATGACTCAGTGCGCTGTTTGGGTTTGATTGCTCGTTGGTGATAACGTGCAATATTAAATGCCACTAACAAGCATAAAAGCTCTCTGGTTACTCCTGACAACCCCTACTAAGGAAAATTCCCGACATCTTCATTTTTCTTATTTTGTTTCATGATTTGTATGCTTTTATTTAGCTTGGTTTTTTGCCTCTGTAATGCTAGTGTGTGCTTCTTAAAAATGTAAACCGACCAAATATCATAAATTATTACATTAAACAAATATATACTTATCTTTGCTATATATATATATATATATATATATATATATATATATATATATATATATATAATCTACATATATTATATATATGAAAATGCTCACAACACGAACTCGACACGATTTATGCGAGTTTGGGTTTGGTATAAATGGGTTTGAATTGTAAACGAGTCGACACGATTAAATACGTAAAATTATATTGAGTTTGAGTTTAATTCACGTAACCCATTTAAGTAAACGGGTTAAATGGATCGTGTCAACACTTATGCGGCCTAACCTATTTATAACCCACTTAAAATATAAAATAATAAATTATAAAATAAGAGAAGGGTAAACTTGTCCATGAGGGCGTAAAATGAACACCAAACCCTTGTCTTAGCCTTATATATTTCCACTTCAAAGTTTTCAAATTCGCTCCACGGAGGGAGAGAGTAGAGGGCGAAATAGGCGATCGTGAACCACACCTTCTGATCAGCTTCGATCCTCGTCTGCAGATCTGATTTCTTCCTTCTGTCGAGTTCCGCTCTGTGTAAGGCTGGATCCACTATTTTCCTTTATAACTCATCCTTATCTTCTATTCTCCATCTCCATCTCGTCCCTCTCTGTGTGGATAGTTGGGTTCGATCTCCTCAAGAAACTTTTTCAGGTCGCAGATCGGAGGTCACAACAATTTTTTTTTTGGGTTTTCTTAAATTGTTTTGTACAACATATTAATCATCCTACATAAGGTTTAGAAATCCCTTTCCAGTCCCATTTTATTAAGTAAGACTGAAACCTACCACTCCTCCTGCACAACCATATCTGATGCAATAGTTGATAAATTTAAAACATCCATTAATTCCATTTAAGCATACTTAATCTTCTAGATAGATAAACATATGCTTATAACATAGTTGAACATGTTTGATAAATTTAAACATGCAAAAGAACCCAAAACTTTGCTCAAAGCAGTAAACAGTTTACAAAGATTTCAAAGACAACTTCACATATGCAGTTTCTTCGTTTAACCTTAGGTTGCTTCAAGGTTCAACACAATACCATTAACAATACTCCCAACCATTTTTACATCTCTGGAACTATTATACAACCCAATTTTACCCACTGAAACAACCCAGTCATCTTCCCATAGGTCCAGAAACAACCCAAAATCACGTAGAAGCAAGAAAAGAAGCTGGAGCCGCCTCCAGAATATTGGAGCCGCCTCCCTTCTTAGTGGAGCCGGCTCCTCCCTTATTGGAGCCGGTTCTACCCTTGTGGAGCCGGCTCCAATCCCTTGTGGAGCCGGCTTTCACACCCCCTAGAGCCGGCTCCCTCCTTTGGTGAGCCGGCTTTCCTCCTTTGAGAGCCGTAATTCATTCTCTGGTTGTCTTCCTCGCCTCCGGCTAAGTTCAAAACCTATTTAGTATTTTAAAACCTTGTTCCAGTGTTTATACACTATCCTAGATTATATGAGAAACCCCCCAACATGCATCAATAATCCCAATTAACCAAGCTTGAACCTAAGACACAGCATGCATCAGTTCACAGTTTTTTAAAAATTTGCACAGTTTGATTCACGAGAGTTATTTCCGTTTGAACATGCATACAAGATAAATTTAATCATTAATCTGTTTTTAATCTTGGTTTAATCCTTAGAGTCTTTCTAAGCCTGTACAGAACACAGATTAAAGAGATAGAGTGGAAACAGAACTTGCCTTCAGTTTCAGACTGTGGAACTGCAGACCTCTGTCAACTCCGGCAACGATGGTTGTCTTAACTCCCTCTGCTGCTCCTAATTCAATCCCCAACCTTCTCCTTGAATTCTTCCTTCAATCCCCAAAGGTTCTCTCTGAAACTCTTTACAACTTTCTGTTTTTCCCTTTCTGAAAACCTGATACGTGAATGCAGGTTGTGTGATGTTTGTTTGCTAAACCCTAAACCCACATGAAGAAATATATTTATAGGCTTGATTCTCCAACCCTAATCCGTATATAGCTAGAGCCCTAATGCAAACCCTTAGTCGGCCCATGCAATTGTCCAAGTTACAATACCCGGCGACTTAATACAACCTAGGTCGGCTACAGTAACTCTAACCCTAACTGACATATACGTAAATCAACTTAATTATATAATTTAACGTTTAAATAACTTCCACAGAAATATAATCCTAATCTAAAATAAATTAACATTTAACTTAACCCAATTCAAAATAATCCAATAACAAAAATAATAATATTAATAAAAGAAAACAATTAATTCAAATAGAAGGACAAACAAGCAGATAATCAATTATCAAACAAATAATCCAATAAAATGACACATAATAAAATAAAATGCAATTAAATACAATAATTAAATTCCAGAACTGTCCTTTTAAAATTAGGGGTATTACATTGGGATACACGAGCTTTGATGCCATGAGTAGAGTGAGTGAAAAAACAATGCCACGAGAGGAAAATTGGAAGCTTAGAGGGAGTACTACTACAGTCGTGTGATTTTGGAGCAACAGATTTGCTATTACAGCAGCCCATGAAAGGCAAAATCCAATGACTTTGTCAGCCCAGTCAACATTGTGTGCTCGAGAGGGCTGGGATTGTTGCTGATGGTGCTAATCCTCACCTATTACAGGAGTGTTTCCTGGTCTGAACGAGGAGGAGGAGGAGAAGATAGTGGAGGTTGGGGGTTTGGTGTAAGGAATCTTTGTAAGAATTGCTTAAATGACTGAAACTTTTTTTTTCATCTCCTCCATTCTCTCTACTTTTTCTCACTATAAAAACTGAGAGAGAGTTTACAAGAGAGAGAAAACTGAGAAAAGCCAAAGCAGCAGCCAACTTAAATATACGTCCCAAAAAGAGGGGAGGGTCCATGTCCTCTCGGAAAGTAGGGTGATTCTAGTCTTTTTGGGAGGGAGTCCAAAAATAAACATGTCCTCTCGGAGGTGATTCTAGTCTCACAGAGAAGGTGAAGAATCACCTCCAATCTCACAGTAGCCATTCTCAGGAAAATAAACATGTCCTCTTGGGAAAAGTTGGTATTGGGTCCACTTGTCTTTATCTGAGTGGCTTGGGTATGAGTTACCTTTGACGAAATACTGTATTAGGGACAAGGTGATTCTAGTCTCACAGGAGGTGAATCACCTCCAATCTCACAGTAGCCATTCCCAGGAAAAATAAGCATGTCGTCTTGGGAAAAGTAGGTAGTCCACCTGTCCTCTTCATCTGAATCTCACAGTAGCCATTCCCAGGAAAAATAAGCATGTCTTCTTGGGA